ATACAAGAACAAAGTACACACAGCTTCATACTGCCATCCGCCAAAGATTTTCAAGTAGCAGTATAACCATGCCAATTCTAGGGCAAGCAACCTTTGAAAATCAATCTTACTTCCTCAAGTGTCCTGAATCAAAAAGAGGAAAGCAGTGTTGGTTGAAGAGGAGAAACAGAGGAAAAGGAAAAGTGCTGCCAAGAAAGTATGTACAAATGTACTGAATACAAAATTCAACAAATAGCTATTACTTTGAAAAATATTTTCCTCCAGTAATTAAAATGTTATTAAATTACGAGGTAATTTCCTGAAACATGATATAATTCATCCGAATTGCTATTCTTCCTCACCTTTTATCTAACTAAACCTAATTAGCATTTCTGCTTTACACGTGTTCATACTTTACAAGTTCTTTTATAGCCATCCCTCAAAACGCACATACACCTACTTACTTGATCACAGTGCCACAGTGGACTTGCACAACTTCTTTCAGCTACGTTTTTGCCACAGACACACCTTTGTCTACTAACTCTTGGACAGGGCTGACAACTTCCTAAAACCAGAATGATAAATTAGCACAGAAACATTACAAAAGCAAGAGATTGCTTTGACTTTACTTAAAAAGTCCGAACACCTAACAGGTATGGCCTTTTACCTGCATGACAAGGATTTTCACATTTATGTTGCCCACAAAGCAACTTCCGTCCACATGGCAGCTGACAGGACCACTCCTTGGCACTGCACCTACGAGGGATAGGTTTTGCTTTCTTACAGTAACAAGTAGTTGTGACCATCTTTGGACAAGGAGGGCATGGACCTAGAATCCAAGGAAAGGGAAAAAAAATCTGAAGTCAAAAACTAAAACTTTCAATTTCTATACCTATCAATAATTTCTAGAGCCTTCTTTACTGACACTTTAAAAAAAGGCAATCCCTTTCAATATTTTCTCACGGCAAACTTAAGCTCTGAATTCAACTTTCACAATTTTTTTTGCCTCAACGAAAGAAGAAATAACTACTCAGAAACAATTAAAAATGTAATATAGAACTCACCTGGATGACAGAGAAGTAAACACTTATGACCACAAGGCGGTTTAAATTCTCTCTCACATACTTGACCACAGGAATGAGGCACAAGCCATGGATCTAAAGGTGGATCTTCTACTTTTCCACAATAGCAATAGTACCTACTAGGTGTTTCAGATCGTTTGTATTCAAACCTACATTTTGGACTACAAAGAAGAATGAAATTATTAAAGTTCATTTCACCTTTAAAGGCAAAATGAGAGCCAGGAATATAAATATACTTAGTATGTTCTGTTCAATTAGTTTTATGTTAAGGAACTCTCTACTGCATCTTATTAAAATCTATTTCAGCCAACTAGAACAATATGCACAATATAAATTACTGAGATGATGGAACTGTTTTGTATCTGTACTGTCCAATAGAGTAGCCATTAGCTACCAAGGCTAGTGAACATCTGATATGTAGTTAATGCTCACAACTGAGAAAGGAACAAAATTTATTTTATAATTTTTAAAAATGTAAATAGCCACACATGACTAGTTGCTATGAATTAAGCAGCATATATCAAGAATACAGCTACAAAAAGAAGGCAACATTAGCTTTCTCTACTAACCACCTGCAATTTATTCTTGAGGTATTCACCCTGAATTTTATAAAGTTCAATTTTTTTAAAGTTTGGTTGTATGGTTTACAAATGAATAAAACATATTAGCAAAAGCAAACAAAAGAGAGAAGTCAGGTTATAGGTACGCAACACAACAAGAAACATGAGTAAAATCTAGAATTAAGAGGGAAAAACTTGAAAGTAAATAAAGAATTTCATAATTCTCAACATCTAATACAAAATAGATATAATTCAAATGTACCTAAGTCAAAGAAAAGTTCAAATACCGTTTCATATTCTCTGCTAAAGCAGAAAGATTTTTAACCTACAACATTAAAATGAGTAAGTTTTGGTAGTAGCAGTGTTAACCTTCAGCTCTATCAAAAATTCACTTGTAGATCATCGCAGATCATTTCATTCTGAAAAGATGCTCTATCTCCCACAAAAATGAGTATACTATGCTACAATAACAGTTTCATGTCATCACTTAAATTTCTTTTGTATCATGCACAATATATTTTCATTGTCATGAGAACATGTTCTGTTTCCAAACAAATAACACATGAACATTCTAAATAACCAAAAGATGTATGTTCTTATAATTAAAAGGCAAAAAGAAAATACCACGTCTCATTTGGAATAAATCATTGGCATTTTGTTGGAAGAGTTAAATTCTCCTTTACTAAAAGAAAAATGTCAACCATTCCCTTAAGCTAGTGTGGAGGGGGACATGAATTTTTTAATAAACTTAGATATGGACAGCTAAAAGGCAACTCACCACACCTTAACACTGCCCACCAGCACTGAGACCAAACTGTTCCAGTGAAGAAAATATGCGCAAATGTGTGAGTTTTATTTAAAATAATGGAATACCAACAATGAAATGTAATTATGCTGTATCTTGTTCATAAGCAATATCTTAGTAGAAACATGTATTTTTAAATTTTTACTTTCATAAATCTAATTTAAACCATTAACATAAGCTCTAGCTCCATCCTGATAGCATGAAACAAAATGGGTTCTCAACCCAAATAGTCGTTTATTTTATTTTTAAAAAATATGAAATATCGAATGCAAAGGATACTGTACAGTTGGTTAAATTTTTGTTCCTTTTAGATTTAGGAGAAGAGTAACAGTTCATTATTCTTTTAACTGGTACTTTCCATCCCTATGGCAAATGATTACTTAAAATAGAAGTGACAAGACCAACAGTGAGAAAAAGCACATATGATGTTTAAATCTCTAAAACTAACTCAAACTAACTAAGTCAAAATATCTGGTTTAATTCTGTACTTTTTAAATACTAAAATCACTCTACCATAAACAAATAGTATACAGTAGCAAAACAAATACAGACTTGGAAATTTTAAACTGTTTCCAAAAAATGTGCATTCAATGAAGAGAAAACAAATAGCATTTCTAAAAGCAGTATCATAAGAAAGAACTCAGTTGGAAGGATAGAAAAAGCACTGAATTTAGAATTCAGAAATCCTAGGTTTCAAATCCAGGCTCCAGCACTTAAATTAAGAGTAAGAGGAGCCTGAACACATCATTTCCTTTCAGTTAACTCCAAATATTCTGATCGGTAACAAGGGGACAAAATCTCTCACACATTGCTGAGAATTATTTTTACAATGTAACTAGCATGTCTAAAATACTTTTAAAGCTACGCCACCACAATTTTACAGATGTACCAGTACTTATACTAAAAAAGGGAGGTTTGACATAGATCCAGATTTTGTGAGACCTGAATCTTATACAATTTGGGGTACCTCTGCTAAGAAAAAGAACACAAAATTACAAACATAAAATTAGTTACAAAAGTTATAAAATGTGAATACACAGAGACCCTGAAGCTTACACTTTGTTACCTTGACAGTAATCTACCCTTCTGGGCTGCCAGTATGGATAAATTTCTTATTGTCTTTATTTAGCAGAGATATAAAATTTCTACTCCCCAACTCTTTCTGGAAATATAAGTTCAAGATCAAATAATCATCAATAATGAACAAAACTAATAAAATAAATGTAGAAAAATAATGCTATTGGATAATATAGACCTGTAGTTTTGAGATTTCGAGAATAAAATTAGGAAGCCTATGATCAAAATATGTTAGATGACAGTCCTGTACAATGTGATACTGATGTATACTGACAGCAATCCTAAGTGAAAAGTACTAGAATCACGAATGATTCTCAGTCCTACAGAAAAGTCCTTTAAAAGGATAATTAGGGAGTTGTCTTGCACAGGAATAAATAAAGTCTGAATGATCTATAAGTTACTGAAAGGAACTAGCAGTTATAAAAACTGGGGTGAAAAAAGCCATTATCAAGGTTCCACATCATCACAAATGAAAGGACTAACTGAAAGCCCAACATGGAGAATGAAACCACATAAAGCAATTTGTAATCTACAATTTTCATTTATTCTACAATTTAATAATCCAACTAACTAGAAAAAGTTACCAAGGCCAGGGGTAATCTCTCTTTCCAAAATCATCGTCTGTCAAAGGAGAAGACACAAGAAACTGGCTATCTTTAGCCCACTTCTGGATACAGGGCATGTGAAATATACAGAAACATCCTGAACAGCTCCAAACCTAAAACAAAGGTATCAGAAATTAACATGTATGCAATGATTTTTCTTTAATTCCATAATACTTTAAAATGAGCATCACACTAAATTATTTTCAATAGCTACCTAAGGATTAAAGGAACAAAATCTTTCCTTTCATAATAGGAGAAATGTTCTTTATAAAAATGTATTTAAGTGTAGAACACTTTAAAGAAAAATATTATCAATCACCCAGATTCATTCAGCTAAAAATAACTATCACTAACATTGTGTAAGGTCTCCAATTTTTTTAGACATCTGTTTCATATTTTTTTAAAAATGAGGTCATACTGTTCTGACTGAAATACAACTTTATAGTCTTTTTTTAAAACACAGTATAAGCATTTACCCCATCAAATATGTTTACACAACATGCTATTTATAGCTATACAGTACATCATATAGACTTATATACTATAATTTAACAAATTTCTTGTTGATGTTTAGGTTATTTCCAATTTTAAACAACACTACAAGAGAAACATTAAACATAAATATGTACATATATCTCTATATAACCCTTTTGTTATATAAAACTTATTAATCTAGAACAGTACTAAATTCTAAAAACTAGGTAAGCAAAACTGAGAATATACATAATTTAACACATTAACTGCCATGTGAGTTACATATTTATATATATAACTAAGTTATATATTTTAACTCATGCAAGTTTTGAGCCCAGGGCTTCATGAAGCATATATAACTCACATGTCTCTTTACCTTGGGAGCCTTGTGGTGTGTAAGCAACCCACACTGACATGCTATAGCATACATGTTATGTGACAGATGGCCCCCTGAGCAAAACCCTGCAGTCACTTCATGAAAATCTTACTTGTTGTTCTATTACAATTAATATTGGCAATTTGATTTCGTATAACTCATGCACAGAAAACAATTAAAAAAACAAATTTTTCATTAAATTGGAAAGGATCATTTTGTTTTTGAAGTTTATATTCTATTTTTGTAATAAAACACCATGGCCCCAAGGAAAAATTTTTTCTCTAATGTGGCTGGCAGTCAATGTGTTAAAAACTTAAGGAATTAATTTTTTATTTAATTATTTTAATATCTAAATTAATTTTTTAAACCTGCCAACACTTTACTATAATTGATAAAAATCAGTTTTCCTTTTCTTATAACATTTTACAACTGTTTGATAAGATTAGACATGTAGCTTATTGCATAAGTTGGCAACAGCATTAAAAAAAAAAAAAAAGCCAACTGCTTAGTTTGGGTTACCCCAAAAGCAATACCTGAGGTAAGAACTCAGATGCAAGAGTGAGGGCACAAGATGGGGAAGAGGAAATGTCAACAAATGGTACATTGTTCAGGTGATTACCACTAAGGGGCACAGAAGCCGAATCCTGCCAGAGGACCCTCTGACAAGCCATGTAAAACATGCCTTGGGCTACCTCGGCCCCACTCCCTAATGGAGAGGAGGCTGAGGCATTCATCTGCCCCTTCCCTGGGGTGGAATATTGCTCCAGGGGCATTAACTCCCCAGGGCCTCTGTACTGGCCAAATCAATTCCCAAGGAAAAAATTTTGAGGTGGGAAAAACCACACACTGTAAATATTTAAAGTGGAATTGTATCCACGTGCGCATCCACTGCAGTGGAAATCAGAGTAGGCCAACCAGATATGGCCAACAAAAGGCACCTGCTTCTGATACACTCTCCTATCCAACCCGAGCATGTTAAATTTCTGACTCACTCTACATGACCAACCCATTTCATATGGCTTGATTTTCTTTCTCTGGCAATGCTGCTAAAATAGCAGTGGATTAATCTGAGGTCTAAATGTTAAGTCTATCATATTTAGTCATCACTACTCCTTAATTACTTCATTAATGCCCTTTTAAATTTACATATAGATATCTTTACCTTTAGGTCATAGCTCCTCCAAGGACATGAGTTACATCTGAATCTCTCTCTCCCCAACAACCCTAGCCACTTCCCATGATGCCTTTGACACAGGAGAAACTGACTAATAAACCATTAAGTGTCTCTGTGAAGTTCCACTTCCCTGAAGGCAGAGACATATCCATCTTTTTATAAACCCACGGAAAATAAAGAAATATATAGTACATTTTAACATTTCATATTTGTGGGAATCTCTAAAATACTGATACTAAACATGGAATTGACATGTGCATTAAAACTAAAAATACTTGCTTCAGTTATATTAGTAGTGCTAAAAATATCAAATGCTCATTTAGAGGCAATTTTTTTTTAAATTACAGATTTACAAAATGATCAATCCATATATAAAATTCTCAAATGAAGCATTTTTAAACAAAAATAAGCAAAAGAATAACTACTGGTTAAGAATTATAAATGCAAAATAAGAGATTTTGGGGAGATATATTAAAGCAGAAAGGAGAAAAACTTACTGCTTGGTTTCTCTTCACTGAAGCAATACAAATTAGGCATGTCATAGCCCCTGCTTGAAAAGCTTCATTTACATACTGTTTTGTTCGCTCTAATTCACGTATATCTCCATCTTAAAATTTAAAAATTGAAAATCTCATGTTAAGCAACATCTGAAAATAACACAAACTTGCTAAGAGCACATTATGTGAGAAATGTCTAGCAATATCAACTGCCCAAACTGTAGCTGAAAAATGTAACTAATGAGCCACCAAGAGGTCACAAAGTTTATGCATTAAATCTCACGTACTTGGTTCAAAAACAGTACCTCAGCTCTCTCCCAGCATATGCTTGCTTTTTTTGCTGTTACAGTCCTTAATAAATTTGGTGGGGGCAGAGCCACAGGCAAGAGCAGCAACACGGAATGTAATAAGGGAAAGCAGACCAAAAAACTAAGTGTGAAAGGAATTTGAAAGTCAAAACTAAGTAGAGCCAGTTAGTATAAATATAAGCACAAGTGTGTGTGTCTGTTTAGCACGTAGCATATTCTTCATAAAAATCTGTTGAATGAAAAGACCTTGAGGTCATGACAGTGTAATCACTACATTTCATTATAATACGTTCTGCTTGAAAAGGCAGCATCAACTTTTTAGGAAAAAAATTACTCAACAGTATTTTAAGTAATTATTGAGCACTTATTTGCTAGACACTGGACTATCAGTATTTCACTAGGATTAAATGAACTACTATTTTCATTTCACAGATGAGAAAACTGAGGCACAAAACAATTAAGTAACTTCAGTTTGTCTACAAAGTGAGCCCTCTTAACCTCCATGCTATGCTTTGGAGAGAAGTTACTGCAAGAAGGTCCAAGAAATAACAAGTGACAGCAAAAGTAAGGACAGAACAAGTACCCTAAAGCACAAATAATACCAAAAGGGCAGTCATCTGAGTCACTTTTAGTATAAGAAAAATAAGCCTGTACGCCTTTAGTACAATAAAGATGGTTCAATAGAGGTTAACTAAGCTGCCAAGAAAAGTAGATTAATAGCGTAAACTACCGTAAGTACAGAACTTACCATGGCAATAACTGGGTTCAAATCAAAATTTGAGTTGCCAGAAAGAAAAAATAAATAAATATTTGGGTAAGTCTTTAATATCTAAAATCACCTAAGTAAACACAGCACTTTATGAAAGCTTGCCCTGCTATAACATAAATGTTATTTATTAATAATGTTAAATAAAATACATGTGAAAGTATTCTCAAAACTATAAATTATAGAACTATTAAAGACAATCGCTTTATTTCAAATAAACATTGAAGTTTCAAAAATATCCTTAAAAGCAGAATTTATAATCACACTGTGTGCTTATTTTGCTTTTCAACACAGCTGGCTTTCACAAATATATAACATTTTAAATTTCATCTAATTTAACAGTAAAACCATATAAAATGGGATTTAAGAACAAGACAGAATAGGCCTTTACAAAATAAAACCTAACCTTATATTTATAAAATTTATGTAAAATTTCTTTCAAACTTGTATTAAAGTCTGGCTTCAGCAATAAAGTATACTGCTCAGCATGTCACAGTGGATAGCATGGCATTTGAAGTCATACATTTTAAAAAGATCACTCTGGCAACTGAAGAAAAATGGTATGCAGAAACCAAGACTGGAAGCAGGAAGTGCCAGTTAAGAGTCAGTTATAGCAGATAAAGCAAAAACTGACCTTGGGAAAAGTTACCTAATGTATCTCAGTTTTCTCATCTGTGGATTTAATCCACATATTAAACAGCTGTAAAGGCTTAAACTAGGCGATATCTTTATTCTAACTCATGCTCAAACTCTGCTGTGCTTCTGATTCTGTTGCACTAACAGTCTTGAATCCTGACATCACTAGCCTTACACTCCTCCAGAAAGCAGCATATAACTAAGGAACACAACAACATAGAGGAGAAGAAGAGAGCTAATGTGGTCTTACGATGTGGGGCCTTATGATCAAGGGAAGATATGTTTAAGAAGACACAGATACATTTTTTAAAAGACAAGGAAGAAGAGAAGCAGCTATGGTAGAAAATCTCTAATAATCAAGCCACAAAAATATATTAAACATTACAGCAAACAGATATACAGCACACACTATATGACAGGTACTACTGTTAGCACTATAGTACTTACACATGTTGACTTATTTCATCCTAACAACTCTAGGGTATTTACTATCATTATACCCAAGAAGAAAATGAGCCCCTGAGATGCTAAATAGTATGTCAAACATGATACAGCCAAACAGCAGAGCCAAGATCCAAATCTTGGCAGTCTGGCTCAAGACTCAGTGATCTTAACCATTGTATGATGTGCTTTTCCCCCATAAATAGGTACAAGAGCAGCAGTCTAATCTATTTCAGAATTTTCCTGCTTTTACGCAGAAAATGCAATCAGCCCAGTAATGGCGCTAAAGCTAAGTGAAATAGTTTTAAACCCAGCTCTGCCAGTTAGTAATCATGTGGCTCTAGGAAAGTCACTTCTCCTCTGTAAAGCTGTTTCCTAGAAAATTTCTAAGGTTTCTTCTTGTTGTAACAGGATATTAAAGTAAGAAAAAGAACTGAGGGAGCGTATAAACACATATTACTAAAGGTACATAAACAATATAACACATCCACAAATATACTGATGATGTTGCTATTACATGCAAGAATGTTTCTAATGTTTATACTTTAAAGTATAAAATGCAGAAAGCTTAGGAATATTTACATTTAAAAAAATCTGTTTTTACACTTAACGCTAAGTGGTACACAGCAGCATCACTTTGGCCCTCTCTCACATAAACAAACGTGGCTTTAAAGCAACCCAGATATAAACAATAGATAATGTGAATGTACACGTCAAACCTGAGGAGATTTAGCTTTAAAATAAGTATGAAAATCGGATGTTGTGAATAAGACATAAAATAAGGAAATAAAATCAATACATGAAATAGACTTCGAGACACATTAACATGATGAAAGAGATAAAAATGAAGAATAGATTGAAGGGGGTATCAAAAAGTCCTCCAGTCCAATCAAATCCCAACCAGGAAAACCCTTGCCCTGGCTCACCTCTCAGGGAGCTCCGGCAGCTCCCTCCAAGCATTCTATTGAAATGCCTCCCATGACTGTTAAAGAGCCACTGCCATTCTATTAATACTTGCTTTATGGAAAGATTAGTGTTACACAACATATAACTCGAATAGCAAAATGTACAAAAATTCAACTCTACAATGCAAAATGCTCATTCTTAACATGCAAAAACTATTCCATACAGAATAAAGGTGTTACCCAAAAAGTGTCAGGACTATCCTTTCATTGATGTCAAAAGAGTCAAAATTTAAAAGATCAGTACCTGTCTGAGTAGTATATGTTATAAATGTATTAGCAACTATTTTTCCCTGTTTTCCTTCAAAATCTTCATCTCCTTCATCTTCAGATGAAGAGCTAAAGTGTTCTTCCACAAGTTTTTTGGCTGCAGCTTGATTAGCCTTCTTGATTTCCTCAAATTTCCTCTGAGACGTTCGCTCTGTTTAAAAGAAAAAAAATGGTTTTATATCTGCAAAACAATGTTTCAAAATGCAAGGCATGATGTAGTTAACATATCATTTTTAAGCATAAATTTGAAAGTAACTTTTACAGAATTCTTACTATAATCCACGAGAAAAAGAATTTTCAAATTCCTTGACACAACTAAAGAGAATAAAGACCACAACAAAAACTTTCACTTTTGTAAGTTTCCTGCTAAATGTAGCAAATTGTTATGGAAACAGAGTGATTAACAACTCAAAAAAATTATAAAAGTATAACAGTATCAAAAAACTAGTGATCAACCTCGAAATAAAGACTAACAAAAATTTAAATAGGATATTTTAAAATAACATTGTACATAGTGATTTTTCAGAGGTGAGGGAAACAAGTCCACTGGGAGCACACAAAAAACAGGGAAGGTGGGTACTTCAAACTACCCTCTTCGGAACTATAGCCCAGCCCACCAAAGAGTTTGTAGGCAGTACTCACTTTTACCCAATAGATTTATATCTGCTTCTTAGAAAGTTCAAGAACTTTTTCCCATTTGTGGACTTTTTGACATTTTTGTAGTAACAAAAAAATATATTTCACATTAATCCACACAAAATGTTGTTAACATGGAAAATGCACCTCTTTACAACTTCATTCCAAAAAGAATGTTAAATAGTTTTGGATTAGTTCTTCCACTATTTTCTTTAGAACTGTATGTACTTTTCATTTTGTTACTTGATTATTAAATAATCATGAAAAACAGAATTAGATTACTTCATTGCACATACTCCCAATGAGACTTCAGACTTCTTGAGAGCAAGAAACCACAGGAATTTTCTTCAGGCACTAAGATCAATAAGCTCTATGGGCAGCAACCATAGTTTAAGAAAAGAGCCACGAACCTGAATTCATCTGAATTCATTAGTGCCCATACTGGAAAGATTTTAAATTTACTAACTTAAAATTTACTTTATACTTGAAACTGATGAGCCACTACCAAGATAAGCTCTCTTATTTTAGATGGTGTATTTGTACCTGATGATGTTTTATCTTTTATTTCCCTCATGAAACATTTTCCTTTTCCTGTTGCATCCAGTTTGGTTGGGGATTATCAACCAAAACTGACTATTTCAAGTAAAACTGGAAAAAAATGTATTCAGTGCTTCCCTAGGGAATCTTTGAGTACTAGGGAAAAAAGTAATGGCTACAAGATGCGTGATTCAAAACTTGTACAATAAGAGGGTTGATAAATGTTACTAATCTATGGGACATTAGCACTTAAAGATACATAAGAAAAAAGTCTGAACTGGACAGATATAATGAAAACATTCATAACCCAATGAAAGCATTTACTTTACCTAACATCATCTCGAAGAAAGTTAAAGACGAGTTGTCAAAGCAACATTCTCACATATTATTTCTTACAGCCAAATCTCAATTATCCAGGTAGAGAAGGTATGTTTTCATTCTACCCACAAAATCGAAGAAAGTTTATCAAAACTGTTCACAGATCCCCAAATTGCATGCCTCACCACCACTACTATCCTAAATTCAGTAACTGAAAGCTAAGAGAACACCACGTAACTTTAAAATCAGCCTAGGAGAAACACCACTCAGAAGCTCAATTTTGCTCCTCTCCCCAAAAAAATATATTCTGAAAAATACATTCCAAACACAAAAATAAAATGATGTCAAGGAATAACCCCTTGGCCCCAGGCACAGTTGTAAGTGCTCTCAGGCTCCACTAAAACACGGTCTTGAATGAAGGGTACTGACATATCCAAGGCAACACCACATACATCCACGAAAAGACATTAAATTTGTGAAAAGGAATCACAGTGGAGGGAGCTACTACAAGTTCGAGTGCTAACAAGAAACAGACAAGTCAAGTCAATAAACAAAGGCAATCTGGTAAAAACAGCAAATGGCTACTGGCCCCAGAAGTAGGACAGAGAATGTGAGACGGAGTGCCCAAGCCCAAACTAAATGGGGTTTCTGCTACTCAGTCCCCCTGACTGTTGCCAGGCACAAAGACAGTAAAGCCACAAAATCTTATTTTACAAAAAAATAAAAATAAAAATTGTTAACCAGATTTTTATGAGATTTTTTAAAAAATGAACAAACAAACGCTGACAACCAATCCAGATTTAAAACACTGCGTTAACCAAACAACACTACAGATCACTGGGGCCACAATTTACAACTTACGGTCTAAGGTAGGCAAAAAAAAAAAGGGGGGGGAAGGGAAAAGTACTGAAACAGAGAAGTAACAAAGGTAGTGAGTGCCAACTAAAATTAAGATGAAAGAGGTGTGATGGAAATCTGCCTAGAATGACGAAAAGAGCAGCTACCTGAAATGTCTGAGAAGTGGGCCGGATAAGAAACTCCCGAAGGAGGACAAAAGAAGCGAATGGGAGAGGGCGAGGGTAAACTGCCTTAGGAGGCGTCCAGGTGAGCCCGAGGGCGGGAGCCATTCTCACCGCTGGCTACGGAAGTCTGCAGCGCCTCGGGTCCCGCGGGGCCGCGCCGGCTCCCTGCAGCCGCAGTGGTCGCGGCTCCTCCGGGGCTGGGGCCAGAATGAACGGCGCCCACCGACCCCTTTTCTCGCCCTCCCCCGGCGCCGCGGAGATGGACTCCATTTCCTGAGGAGGGGGCTGCAGTGGCCCGTCCTCGGGCTCGGCCTCGGCCACCGGCCACCTGGCGCCAGGAAGCTTCCATCCCTGCAGAGGAAAAAAAAGAAAAACAGTGGAAGGAGCGTGAGCGCGGCGGTACCAAGGCGGAAGAAAGGGTTAGTGGGGAAAACCAGTGGGAGGGCCGAGTGAGGAGGGTCACTTGAGCAGGTCGCGGCCCTGTCTCCCGGAGGGCGAGTCCCCGCTAAGCCCTGGCTCCGGAGATGGACAGAGGGAGAGGACTAGGTAAAGAAATAAGCCGCGGAGCAAGGAGCACTCCGCGCTGAGGAGAGAGCCGGGGAGAAGGAAAGCGCCTCCTCAGCCGACAGGGCAGCGTGGTGGCGGGAAAGCGGCAAACTGACCCTGTAGCTCCCGCCGGGAACCAACTGCAGTTGCGGACCCCACGGAAAGCTACGTCTCCTTACCGACGGTGTGCGCCCCCAGCGACTACAACTCCCAGAAGCCCCCCCGCCCGCCGGCCACAGAACGCGTGGCAGCACTGGCCGCTTCCTTATCCGGGAGAATGGGCGGTGGTGGGGGAGGGGACTCCGGGCGCGTGCGCAGACCTAGACAGGCCTTTGGGAACTACAGCTCCCGGCGTGCTCTGGGGCTCGGGAGGGGCCGACGGCCCGAGGCGGGCACGATGGGGAGGTGCTCCGCATCTCACGATTGGCGGCTGTCCCAAACCCAGCGGGGTATCGGGGTGTGTCGTTCATTTGCCCTTGGTCATCTTTAGCCTCGCTCTAGGGCTTGCTAGTGGCGGGAGGTGTCAACCTAAAATAATCGAAAGAGTCAGAATCTAATTTAAGGAGAGTTTATTCAAACGCAAAGTTTGAGGGTAGTTCACCGGGAAACCCCAACTCCAAGGAATGGAGTCTGCCTTCTGAAATAAAGAAGTTAAGGTTTCATTTTTATAGTCAGAGGCAGAAGAGTTTTTAGCAGGATTACTACAATTTTCATACAAGGCTGGTGCATAGTTAGAACAATTTGGTTATAGGTAGTGTTTCTTTTTTGAGAAGGGTACCCTTAACATGTTTTACAGAAGGCGTAATAGTCAGTGGGTTTTCTGTCATCTGGTCTAAGGCAGAGCAGGACAGCAAAGGGGAAGTAAATCTATAACAAGGATCATTAATTAAGAAGGCAGGAGGTTTTGTCCCTGACATCGCTCCATCTCTCTAGTAATTGTACAGAATAATAAGAAAGTGAGTTAGTGCATAATCCGAGAAGCAGAAGTTGTAACCATATGTAACTCAGATCACAGTTACATCTCTCTCAAGTTTTCAAGTGTTTTGGGAGTGCCAACAGCTTTTAAATTTTATGTATTTTCATAGAGAATTCTCACTAGCAGGAAAAGCACTTGCAATGAAAAGACGTCAAGGTTGGCCACTGTCAGGATGGAAAACCGGGGGAGAGTTGTAGCAAAGTGGCTCAAGTGGGGAAAGTGCCCCTGTAAATTGCTAGAGCAATGTCGAAAACAAATCTGCAGCCTATTATTATCATAGTCTTTTATAGTTTACAATGAGCTTTCCCTGGACTATGCTGATTTTACCTTCACGACAGCTCCCTAAAGTAGATTTTATCAAGGAAAATAGCTGAGAACGAGGACCTAAATCTTGAGTTTCCTGAGTTTTCCAGTAAGATATGTATACTGATAGATTCCAAAAATTCATTTTGGGGTCTGTCTAGGATTGAGAAATACATTGATGGCTGTTTGGGATTATATAATCCTTATGTAATCCTTCAACTTAATTAATTCCCCTACATTAATCATAAATATCTAATATTTAGATAGTGTTTGTTAAGTGCCAGGCACCGTTCAAAGTGTTTTACATATATGTATTAATTAATTTGGTACTTGCAATAACCCTGTTTGTTATCCCCATTTTACAGCTGAGGATACTGAGGCACAGAGAGGTTAATTAATTTGCCCTTGATTAAATAGCAAGGAAGTGGTGAAGCCAAGTTTTAAAACCAAGTAATTTAACATTAGAAACCATCTTTTTAACCTCTTATGTATACATATTGCCCATATGTTATTCAAACTCAAAATTCGTATTCCTGAGAATGATATGATAACTTCATTTTGGCTAGAAACTAAGAGGCATGCATTGACTCTCTTAACACTGCATTTGTATATGGACTATTAGTTTAAAGCTGCAATCAGCTTTAAAAGTTTTAAAAGTCTAAAGTTAGACTTTTCTACTGTGGAGTTTTCTGGTACAGGAAAGGAGCATTTACAGTCAGAGAGGATACAGTGAATGTCAGGGAGTAATGACCGAGAAATATTGAGTAGCTACTAAAGAGAGGGATGCTTCTTAGAACCACGTCATATGCCAAAGATCTGGATGAGTTATATTTTAGACAGCTGAAAGAAGTGATACATTTTTGATTCCTTGAGGGCTTTAAAACAGGTTAGATATCATTACATCAGGTATTAGATGAGCTCAGCACTAGTTAACCTGACATTGAAGATCCTTTCCAGGCTTGCTAGTGGATTACTCTGTTGAGTTTACTTTGAGGGTTTGCATCAAAACTATGATGCTAGAAACATGATAGTGCTTAACATGGACTGGCAGTGTCTAATGCTTCTGAAGTTATTTGGTGCGTTTACTTCTGCAATTACTGTGTTCTCTTGAAGAGAAAAAATCTGAGAAATCCTAGTTCTGGGTAAACTCAATGCACCTTGCAAAACGTGCTTGCCATTCATCTGTGATCTAATAAAAGACTCACTATTTCTCTGAATGTGTTCAAAGAAAAATCCTAGAAAAGAACTAGAAGAGAAACCTCTGCGAGTGAGGTTGACACTCAGGTATCAGATATGATTCATTTTTTTCCATCACCAAAGAGTCTTGTTTCTCTTTAATCAATAAATTTCAAATGCCCAATTATTTTACATGTAAAAATAAAAAGAATATAATCATAGCAAATTTCACATTATTGTTGTATGATTCTTTGGTAATTTTATATATTTTGTGCTCTTTAGGCATTGCAAAATTACATGTGAATGGAACAATGGAAATATTAAATATCTGCAATGTAGATCTATTCATTATCAGTATTTTTTTTTTTGCAAACTGAGGAGCTGGAAGTGACTTAATAAATTTGAAACTGAGTAGGGAAAATTATATTCTTGACTTAGAGATCCCCTGATAATGGTGGGCAAATATTCACCCCCGAGTGCCATGGGGTGGCTCATCTGTCATTCTTTCTGAGGAGAGTAAGCAATGAGCATGGTTCAGGAGATCATGGAACACCGTGGACTGTGGTCCCACCAGGGTACCTGTGCTCCTCAGCACCATGAATCTTTGTGACAAACCCAGGAAACAGGCTCCCTGCTCTCTGAAGAACTAACCCAAGTAGCTCCTTGGACCAAGTCCAGCTGGCTGAAGCTTGGCCTAGATAAAAAATGATGAACCTAATTGGAAAGAGGAGAAATTGGCAATCCGACAAGAAATCCAGTAGCAACTATTTTTAAGGGCTAGCATTGTCAGGCTGATGAGTAATTTTGTGGTAAATTGCTATTTTCAGAGTCCCAAAGGGATGCACTGATGAAAAATGCATTCTTTCACCTCCAACTAGTCAGGAAATCAAAAGCCAGACATGAAATGTAATTCTAGAAAGTATTGTCTCAAATTTACTCAATATGCATTCTGACCACAGATAGCAGGAATCTTATCGCCAAGCAGAACCTCATAAAGCACTTACTCACCTTGGTCTTTGTAGAAAGCAATCAAGTACAATGTCATAGCGAAGTAAACACTGAACAAAGGGTCAAAAGTTCAGGCTTTGCTGGGGACACGGTGGCTCAGGCCTGTCATCCCAGCGCTTTGGGAGGCCAAGGCAGGAGGATCGCTTGAGGCCAGGAGGATTGCTTGAGGAAAAGAGTTAGAAGTTACGATGAGCTATCATTGCACCACTGCCCTCCAGCCTGGGCAACCAAGACCCTGTCTCAAAAAAAAAAAAAAAGTCAGTTCTGCCACTAAACTAGCTGTGTGAATTTATACTAGACTCTTCTACTCTTCTCTTTTCAATTCTTTTGAAATAGTTAAAACATACCAAGTATTTTAAATAGCAATATACACATATCCCTACTAGCTTTGTCATATCTTAACATTTGGACTCATTTGCTTCAGGTTTTTTAAAAAGATATAAAATGCACAGAACTTGAAATACTGTGTATTTCCCACCCTCCTTCCCAATTCATTGTCCTTCATCCCCCACAGAAGTAACCACTATTCTGATTTCTGGCATCTACCGTCCCCTGGCTGTTACTAAGGTTGTGCATCCTATGTACAGATCCATAAACACTATTTAATATTGTGTTATATGTTTGTAAGTATCGTATAGGTGGTATTGTACGTACATATAAAATTCAGCACAAGTGAAAGGGTTAAGAGCAGAGACATTGGAGTCACATTGTCTGGGTTCAAAAGTGGTTGTGCCACTTCCTTCCTCCAGGCCTTGGGCAAATGACTTAACCTCTCCCTGCCTCCGATCCTTCAAGCACTCATCAGACATATTGGCAAGACTAGAACATTGGGTGTATATTCCCTCACCAAACTGCCATCTCAGAGTCCCAGAATTCTGTCCCTCATCTCCTCCTAGATGCAGGTATTAAGGAGCTTCCCCTGTTAGACAGGGGACACAATGGAACCTGCCTTATAAGCTGTTCTGAGGATTAAATGTGTGGACATCTGGAAAGCACTTGGGACAGCGCGTGGCACAAACTGAGCGCTACCCGAGTATTATCTGTTACCATTCAAACGTTTTACAGTATTCCATTGTAGGATCATATTCCGATTTATCTAGTTGCCTTTTGATAAACATTTAGGTCGTTTCCAATTTTTTACTCTTATATACGCTATTAAATATATCTTCTTGTGCATATGTAGCAGATTTTTTTTCTAGTGACTACACCTAAGAATGAAATTGCTGGGTTTTAGGTCATTCCCAACTCTGGCTCTATCATATATTAACATATCACTCTCCAGAGAATGGCAAAAATTCCCACTCTCACTCAAAGTTCCTAAAGCACTTTTAGTGTTACCCAACCATCAGTTCTATATTTATAAAATGAGGAGGGGTAGAATAGATGATCTCTGGGGTCTTTCTGCATTTTCTGCATTCTCCATTCCCTCTCTTTGAATTTCCCATTTTCTTCCTTCTTTGCCTAGAGATGAACTAGTACATGGAATATCAAACTATCTCTTCCTAATCTATACACCTGTTGTTTGGTATTTTATATTGAGCAGTCTATAAACTTAGAAATCCACTAATATAATTTTGGTAATCATAAGGAAGAATATTGCCTACATTGACAGTGTCCCAGCCAGTCTTACTTCCAACACTGTTAAAACAAATCAATAGTTTTCAAACTTCTCAAAGCAATGGACTATTTTTTAAGTGAAAATGCAAACTGAATTGAAATATAAATACTGTTTGCTTCATTTCTCTCC